TCTCACTAGTCTTCTTTACCATGACTTAGTACAAAGAATTGTGGGATTTGTAATGTAGCTGTGCTGGCATAGTGGTTAGAAGGCAGTATTGCAGGCTACTTCTGCCCACAGACTTGACTTCAATCTTGACTGGCTCAAGGTTGACTCAGCTTTCCATCCTTCTGAAGTTGGTAAAATGAGGACCCAGATTGTTGGGAACCATATCCTGACTTTGTAAACCATTTAGACATAACTAAAACACTATGAAGTGGTATATAAGTCTTGTGCTACTAAAGAAATCTAGATGCTACCAAGTTATTTATCAAGAGTGATCAGTTTTCTAATTCAGTGTGAAATAGCTCCCTGTATTTTTATCTCAACACTGAAATGACCAGTTCACATATAAATAATGAAATGTTATGATATAAACTATACACATAATGTATATAAAAGTTTAGGCATCACTGTTGACATTAAATGTTGCAGTGATACATTAGAACATTTAGTTTGACCAGGAATGTTTAAACTTTTTCATCCAAGTGTAGTTTTACATTTAGGAGTAGAAGATATGAAGTGTCTCTTTTTGTCCCTATCTATTATTTGCTGAATTGTTAAAGGGTCTGTTTCATTTTTTATTTTTTTTAGGAAAATGGAACTGAAGGACATGCTTAATGGGAAGACTGCAGTTTTTTCCTGAACTGATAATGGTTTTCTTATTGTAGAATTAATGAGGTTTTATTTCTATGTGAAATTCAATTCTGAACCATTTGCATTTTAATTTTTCTTTCATTTAGCACTTTGAAAGCATCAGAAATATTTTTTAGAGCAAAACTCTGTGCCTGCAGGATGCTGAGGTAATGGCTTTTAGAAACACATTGAAGCCAGAATCTTCACATTTCTTCTTCAGTCTAAAAATAGCATTTTGGATGGTCAGAAAAAAGCTGAAACCAATGTACCCGAGGCTGATAGTAGAAATATTTCTGGGATGTTTTAGAGGCTAAGAGAGAAAGAAACTTCTTAACATGTTTTACATTGATTTATTAGAGATATGAAACTTTCTGAAATGCTTTGAATACCTGGCTGCTCTCCTAAGCAATCACAAAATACAAAGACCTCCAAATAGAAATAGAGTGACTGTGACAAAAGAAAGCAAAGGTGGTACCAACAATAATAGATGCCTTAGGTGAACTCCCCAAACAATTAAATCACCGCTTGAAAACTATCAGCATTGACAAAATTATCATCCGTCAATTGCAAAAGCAGCTTTTCTTGGAATAGCTTATATCCTGCGACAATACATTTAACACCATTGAAGAATAGCATCTGCCTGTCCCAGGTCTTTGGGAAGAACTCAATAGGTAATCAGAAATGCCAAATATTGTTCAAACATTTGGCTGTCTGTATGACAAGCCAGTAATTATTTATATAAATTGTTTGGCCATCCAACATGAGTGTACTTCATGGACAGCCTGTCTGGCATATTGGGTTTACAACAGGATGTCAAGCTAAAGGCCCTTGGGCCAGATGCGGCCGTGGAGGTGCTTAGTTCTGGCCCGCAGGGTTGCCCTGGAAACAGCGAAGGACTGACCTGCATTGCCTCTGCCAGCGCGACCCTCCTGAGCTCCATTTTTGCTGGCAGAGGTTTGCAGGAGGCCATCCCAGCCAAAAACTGAGATCGGGAGCCCATTTTTGCTGGGAGAGTGCTAGGGCTACCACAGGCGCCCTGATATGAGTGATGTCAAGCTAGCCATGCTCCCCTGGCTACGCCCACCCCAGCCCCCTGAGATCAAACACAATCCTGATGCGCCCTTCAATGAAATTGAGTTTGACATCCCTGGTTTACAAGGTCAGATATGAAACACCAGGCTAGCAAAACTTTCTGTAGTAATAGACATTTGTTTTCACTGCACAATTTCAGAAGTTGGATGTTTAGACATTTGTTTCAAGATCCTGCTGAAAGGAAGTTACCTGTCAATTTAATTATGGGGGAAATATAATATTAGGAGAAAGGGAAATGAAAGAATAGTTGTATGTCTGAAACAGTTGAATCACTTTTTCTTTTCAATTAATTGGATGAATAGCGCAGATGAAATACCATGTTTCTAGGCTGGGTGTTCACTTCTAGGAAGTACTGCAAGTGTTACAATGGTATGCATATTATAACTGCCCTGGATATTGCTTGTATATTCATCTCAGTTCATCCAACACTATTATCCTATTCTTTTCCCTATCTTATCAATCCATTCCTTTCTCTTTTCTTGTTGCTTATACATTGTCATTCAAAGCTGATGGTTAGATTCTGTATACATTGCAGGTGTGATGACCTGGGTCGTGGCACAAAGGCAACACAGTCACATAAGTAAGAAAAGTCCCTTTAATACTTCCAACTTTGCCCCCAATGTCCAGTTACCTTCGGCTGGAGAAATTTTTTTCCCAAGAACAGTCTTAAGTGGAAGAAATTCAGTCCGAAAACCAAGCATATATATAAACTGTAAATAAAAATGCACACAAACCATGCTGCAGCAATTAACTGGACAAGGCAGGATAAGGAATTGTAAACTTCAAAGGCCAACAAAAAACACACAGTTGGGAAGATGCCAGGAACCCAGATAAGCCTTGACAATAAAAGATAACTCACGATTTGCTTCCAACAAGTTGCTGTGTGCAAACTCCCTTTTTAAACACTGTGTTCCCAGCTGCAGCTAATGAAGGGCCATTTCCTCCCCCATAAGCCACGCAACTCACGTTGCTCCCTTCTCCATTCCTCCCTGCATGCCCTAGGATGAAGACGGGGTGGGCCTGGATCTTCCTCTGAATTCCTTCTCCCTTGCTCTATCTCTCCCCTGGTCTTTGCCCTTCCCCAGTTTCTTCCACAGCCAACGGGAGCCACACTCCCACTCCCTGTAAGCTGCTCAGCCTCCCCTTCAGAATCAGATTCCGACAGGGGCATGACAGCAGTGTTCTCTTGGGGCTTTCTGGTAGGCAGAACTCCATCCTTTAAAAATATACTGTAATTTTCTTAAGCCAAGAGAAGAAAGATGGATGCTGTTCCTCCTGTTTTCATAAAGGACAGAAAGGCAGGTAGAAGAAAGTAATAATCATAATACAACATTATGCTTTTTGGATATGCAGTGTTTGCCCAGTGTAGAGAAGGAAAATTAGTGGGCGGGTGTTCTGTCTCACCTTTCTTCTTTCCAAAAGATGAAAGAGTACAAACTCACACAAACACAGGCAGGCAAGCTGGCTCGGACTTCACAGAGTTAATTCTTTGGAACTGATAATGTCCTTGGCATTCCAACACGCTCTGCCTGCCAAGTCCGAACTGATAACAAGTAAAAAGCTACTTCCAGAAAATTACAAGGCAGACCATAAAATCATTCACAAAGAAAACCTGAAGCAAGATTAAACTTTGTCCCGTACAAAGTTCCAGCCGACAACACACCCACTTTTATCCCCTGTGGGGTGTGGCTCAATGACTCAGCTCACTCTCTGACCCTCCCACGCCTCCTACGTGGCTGCTCACGTTTCTTCCTACGACGCTGCTTAGGATCAAGCCAACATTCTTCCTCTTGACTCCCTGTCAGGGGCTGCTCCGATATGCCTTCCTCCTGATTAATCTCAGGCTGTTCCTCTCGGTTGTCTGATGAAACCTGAGACATTATTAGGGAGGAAGGCATTGCCAGAGAGGAAGGTCCTGGGGAGGAAGGCATTCCCAGTTCCTCCTCCTCATCTTCCGAGTCCTCTTCCTCTAACAGCACAGGTTCGGGAATCAGAGCCACAACAGGCGGGTGTATGCATAAACATGTGCACCCATATGCTCACTTCCATAGATATCTGAACATTTGAACAAATCAGCAACTACTGCAATGTTCTTCTTCCAAGAATGAAAAAAAACATTAGGGTACCATGTGTTCACTAAGAATAATTGTGTAGGCATGGCTTCATTTTATTACTTGTGAAATTATAAAAACCATAAATAAATCAGAGCAAACTATCATTTTTAAAAAGAAGAAAGGTAATATTTTAAATTAAATGTACTCGACACAAGATTCTATATGTAGAAAACATTATAACTAGCTGAACTAAGTCAGTTTGAGGGATTTGATAGTTATGAGCTGGACCTTCTTGATTATTTACAGGTTGTTGATGTTGAAAGATAAAGGGAAAAGATTACTAAAGAGAACAATAAAACACTTTAATTGAGAAACACATTTGCAAAAATCCTTTCAAAGCATTAGGTTTTTTTTAAAAAAAGCATATAGATAGTGGTTTCAACTAGGTGAAATCCAGTGAACAAAATGTTGCAATAAAGGAGAAGGTTACATAATTATCTGGAATAATTAACTTTTATGCAAAGAACTAAGTCCTTTCTATCCTGGGAGCTGAAGTTGTCAGGTACCTATTAAATAATAAATGATTTATTTGAAGATTTTGTAGAGTGATTTTGAAAAATATACAAATGAAGAAAAGTATATGATTTTAATAAAAATAATGTATACATAAACCAAGCAAGTTGAATTATTAAATGGTTATTGAATGGTTACTGGATTTACACCAAGTGCTTGGATGTAGTGTTGAATGTTTGATTCTAATCAAAGTGGGCTTTAAACCAGGGTTTATGACTTCCTGCTCTGTGAAACTTATACAACAAACCATATTTAAACAAAGAATGTACTAAATCTAGCTAGCCTTTTCTGCCAATTAAATAACTTCTGGACTTTTCATATGGTTAAAGGAGAAGCATTCTTAGGTTTTTTGCTTTTATTTTAAGGTGGAAAATCAATTACGTGGATCAGAATTTTGCACTTCTGATTCAGTTTTTCTTTGGCAGCTTTGTGCTCTTTGAGGTGGTTTCAATAATACATAATTTTGTCATAAACTTTCAGGCATTCAAATATTTAAGCTTTTTTGCACAAAAAAGGGTTTGATTAATGAGAAGATTAATTATATTTCAAACTTCCACTGAAACAAGATGAACTTTAGAGCATGTATTTGACACATCTTCACTTGATATTTTTAAGGAACTGATGACCAAGCTAATAACAGAGACTCCTGATCATCCAATTCCATTTCTCATTGACCATCTTCAATCCAAACAAGGGAGCCAGAGCCACATTCAGAGAACATTGTCTGGATCTGCTGCTCTCTGGGCAGAGAGTGAAGCTTCAGGTATAAAACAAGAATTATTCACTGGGGAATTCTAAGTGAACACAATTTTGTGATCACTGTTGTATCAGAATTGTTATGTTTTTATTAGACCTTATTTATCTGCCTAGAGGTTATATGGCTAGAGATCATATGTTTTGTATATTCAAAGTACTTACATGTTTTCTTAAGTTTTCACGGGTACTTACATGTATGGCATTCAGCTTTGTTCGGGTATTTTCCCACGTCATTGTAGTTGTGCTTTTAAAGTTGTAGCAACGTTTCAGCAGAATCTCATCTGATTCATCTCAGCCTGATGATGGCAGATGAGATTCTGCCGAAACGTTGCTACAACTTTAAAAGCACAACTACAATGACGTGGGAAAATACCCGAACAAAGCTGAATGCCATACATAAAAGTACTTACATCTGTCTACATTTAATTTATTAAATTACCTATCTCAAAGTTTACCTGGGTTTATCAAGTAGTCTTTATTTCAGCCTAATATCTTCATATTAATTCATCAGTTGCAATGAAACCATACAATTTGGATGCTGCTCATTTGGGAATCCAAGTCAGAAGAAGTTGTCACATATTAATAGGTATTCTTAAAGAAATTGTTCTTTGAATAACCCTTCTAACATCCAGGTGTAAATTTCCAATCCATCCTGGCCATCTGATAATGGTGAGACATAGATCAGTATTTCATTCTAACTGTGGATCTTTTTACCCTATAAATAGATATATAAATGCCAAGAGGCTTTTTAATAAAAAAAATTAAAGAAGTAGTGATTTACATGGTTATTTGATTACATGGTTATGTTCAAAAAGAGTCCTTCATGTCTCTTTACTCTTTACTTGAATATATTGTGGATTATGAAAAGGCTATTATGCAAATGTAGTTTTGGACTGCGTAGTTTATTTTTTTTTTCCATGAACATCTGTCAAAGGCATACATAAATGAAAATCAAAAGAGAATCATAATTTTGTGGAATGAAGATATTTGTTCATAGCAATGTTATGATATTAAACAGCTCTATATAATAATTATTATTATTCTAATTTTATTTGTGGAGTTATAATTTCTTTATGTTTGGAAAAATTTAAGCAAATACATTTTTCCATTAGAACATAAGGGAGCCAGAAGAGATTTCAGAAGTTATGATAAACCCTGGAAGACAAATGCAAAGAAGCCTAAAAAATCAAAAAGTGACCTTGCAGTATCCAGCATTTCTCCTCCATCTCCAGAATCTAAATCATGTAAGGAAGTATTAAATATAGTTTGTGATTCCCCCCTCCCAGTTTCTATACTGATATTTTGATTTTCATGTTTCTGTATGGGTGTCTATAAACTTAATTTTAAAATTTATTTAATAAATGTATTCCTGCCCTACCTTGTGATTTTCAGCGGCCTGAATCATGTAGAATAATAAAACAATGCTATTGCTTGTGACAAAGTGCAGTTCAAATATTATTGCCTATCTAATCAATATGCAGACTGCAGGATTCATGTTATACATATTCATTTGGATATGTATCAGATAATGCATTTGGATAGACATACTGTACTTTTTCAAGTATCAAGTGTCCAACTGAGGTCAGCCTCTACTTTCCTTTTAGAGAATATGGATATATTTGTTTGGCCTATGGTTATATTGGAAGTAGAATGTCATTGTAGGTTCTTGAAAACCTTGTGGTTTTGTTAACTCCATTATGTATCAAAGTTATAATCTGATGATTTTCACATCGAAAACCACATAGCATAAGAATTTTTAGAAATAAAAAGACCTAACCGAAGTAGATGCATAGAAAAAAATGTAAAAAGAATAAAGTCATTTGTTACAATAATAAACAAGGAAAGGTCTAAAATTCCTTATTGATATTAATACATTATGCTTCTTATATTACTTGGGAGGCATTGTATCTGATGTGAAAGATAATAATTCAATAATTATAGCAGGAAAATTAACCAACTTCAGTGCTGGCTATAATAAATGCTGAATAATAGGATTCAGGAAAAGTTTAAAAAAATATTAGTAATGAGTTTTCCTAGCCATTCAGTAAAAATACTATAGTGATCATTGAAATCTGAATGAACTGGTGCTGTTGAAGGCATTTTACTTCATGCAGTTGAAACTTGAACTGGAATTAATTTAAAATTGTGAATTAAAGAAAAAGAAAAATCCCGTACTTTGCCAATAAAAGATTTGCAGTCTCATGGTTATTTTTATTTGTGGGAGTAATTTAAAACACCTTAAGTCATGTGAAAGGAGCTTTTATTCCTTCTACTTAAATTTGTGGGTACTGTAGTATGAAAAATGCGAATAGAGTTTCCCTCCCCTATTTACAAATGTAAGTATTTGAGAGATTTAGGAGGAATAAGAAGAAATACTTCTTGAACTGTTGAATATTCTGCTATCAGAGAAAGGAATGTAAATGATTTAACAAATTCATGGAGGATTAGGCTGTCAATCACTATTTTAGTGCCTTTATAATCTCAGGCATCATAATTTAAATACTAGCAGACAGAAAGCAACAGTAGATATGATCTATTGCCATCTTGTCCATATTTATGAGCTTCTCTAGAAAAGCTTGGTTATTATAAGTCACAGGAATACTAGACTTGATGGGCTCGTCTCATCATTCAGGATCTTCTAAAGTTTATATCATTGTCATCCCAATTCCTTGAAGTTAAGCGTTAAAGGGGGAGAAGACCTATCCCATGGATTCATATCTCATGGTCATTGGACTTTTATTTTGCTGAGTTAATGGAAAAGAAGAAGAAAGCCAAAGTAATTTCCAACCAGAGAAGTGGGTTATTATTTTGAAATAAAAAAGAACCTACTATTGTGCCAGTAATCCCACATCATGTAAATCCCATTTCATCATATTTTAATGATGAAAACTCCTATGAACTATTACATACAAAACTGCAATGATGAAATCAGCAACGGAAAAATGTTACATGTACCTAGACAAAATATTAGGGAATAAACCCTAATTTTATTTGTTTGTACGTTTACTTTAAAACATATTTCTGGATATATATTTTTTTACTTAACAATTCCCAAACAAGTCAATGAGGATTGAGCACACTCAGTAATTAGAGAATGGTATTGATTTGGCGGGGGGACGACCCAATAATGAATTGGGAAAGGGAAGAATGTCATGGAGAATCTTGAAATGACATCTAACTAGCAAGAGCACTGCAATATTTCACTTCAGATTTCACTGATAAAAATAAACATTATGGTTTAAAAATTTGCTTCTTAATATATGTAAACAGGGGTGGGCTTCAAAAATTTTAGCAAGGGGTTCTCTGCCTGGTTGCTGGGTGGGCATGGCTATGGTGGGCGTGGCCTAGTTGGCCTCCTGCACCACGGCCGGGGAGGCGTTTTTGCCCTCCCTGGGCTCTGGAGGCTTTCCTTGAGCCTCTGGGAGGGAGAAAATGGCCTCCCTGGGCTCTGAAGGTTCTCTGGAAGCCAGAAACGGGCCCATTTCCGGCCAAGTCCCCCAAACTTTCAGGAGTCCTGTTTTTCACCCTCCCCGAGCCTCCGTGCATACCCTGCACTTACTTGCATCTAAAATGGGCCGTGTGAGGACTCCTGGGAAGGAAGGTGTGGGATGGGCAGGGCCAGCCATGAGTGGGATTTGGGGGTTCTCCAAACAGCACAGAATCTTAGCTAGGGGCTGTCCCGAATCCCTGTCATCTGCCAGCAGCCCACCCCTGTATGTAAAGCTCTTGTTTCAGTGGTGGGATTATATTTTTTTTACTACCAGTTCTGTGGGCGTCGCTTGGTGGGCGTGGCAGGGGAAGGATACTGTAAAATCTCCAGTCAGAGGTGGTATTTGCTGGTTCTCTGAACTACTAAAAATTTCCGCTACCGGTTCTTCAGAACTGGTCAGAACCTGCTGAATACCACCTCTGTCTTGTTTCTTAAAAAATGAACTCTCTTGCAGTGTTTTTTCCGCCAGAATACATTGCAGAAGACTTTCTGAAAAGAAGACTTACTTCAATTTTCATTGTAACATAATTGAAAGGTTGAGTTTTAATTATTTAAATTTAGCATGTTTAGAAATGATTGCATGCGCATAAAGATGTGAAAACCAGTTTCTATAGAAACAAAGCTACAAACGTTAGTTTCAGTTTTAAAATATTGACTAAGCAACCTGTAAGTGAGCACTGGGAAGATAGTTTAGCACAGGTGGAAGCCAGATATTTTCCCCAGATGTTTATAATCTGAAATTGTGCTTTATTTTATTTAGTGCCGCGATCAGTAGGGCACCTGAAATGGGATTGGAAGTCAAAGTCAGTGCATCATGATTTCGATGAATTAAATCATATCCTTCAAGAAAGTAAGAAACTTGGCAAAGCTCTTGAAAATCTTTCTCAAAGTAAGTTGATCAACATGTGAGGCATGTACTGAGGAAGCATATTCCTATGACATAAAGATTAGAAATAACTTTAGTGAAGGCAATACACGTTTGACAAGGGTTTCATTAAAATAATCTTAAAGATAAATTGGTGTATTGTAATAGATTTCTAGTATCTCTGGATGTATTCGTTTTTATATTTGTTGTCCTGTCAGTTTTGTGCATATTTTTAATTGCTAAAATTTGCTATAATGCATTTTATAGTAAACTAAATTTAATTTGATGTTGCAGTTACTAAAGTGTAGTATTATTTTAATGCAATACTTCATTTTTATTTGTATTATGCATTGAATATGTTTCGTGTTTATAAAATCCATATGGTTTATTCAGGCTGACTGAGCAGTTTTCAGACAGAGATCAAATTGCATGTGCCAATATTATTGCAAGTAATAAGCTTGTTGTCTCATTAAAGAAGTGATGGCAGTATAACATTCTGATTTAATACTACCCATGTTGGAACTCAACATTGAAAAGGCAACTAAATCCTAATACTTCTTTGAACTTCTCCAGAGCACTATGCCAGCATAATGTTACAAGAATTTTTGCAATAAGGAATTAAAATAATACCATTTTTCAAATATCTTCAACTTTTCATATTAAGTTATTGCTTTACAGTAGCAATTATGTCTTCCATATGTTTTGATTGCCACAAGTGTAGTGTTAATACTTTTTCATATGAATGTGTACCAAGAGAGCCATATTCCATAATGATATATAGAGCCATAGGTTTGTAGTAATTAGCTTCACCAATGCAGTTCTTTTCCATATCCATATATTTGCCCACCAAAATAGGGGGCATATTCTATATAGCTTATTTTGTCTTTGCTAGAATCTCATGTGAGCCTTTACAGGGATTCCTTTTTCATTTACTATAGGCATACATGTTATAAATAAATCAATAGCTCTGCTATTTTTCATTCAGGGGTGCTTTGAGTATTGATACAAGGCAAGGGAAGAAGCACACTGGAACCACAGAGAAATTGGTACATTGTTACAATTGAGCTAACATGATTATTCACACTCTCGTCCTTGTGCAAAATGCTGGCATATTTTTTAAATGCTTGAAGAAGACTTAAAACTTTATTTATCATCAGGCATGAAAGACACATGAAGTTCCAATTAAATTGATTCATTGTTACTCATGCCTGTGCATAGGAATCTACTGAACTAGCAGCACTATTTTGGCTCTAGATAAGGGTCTGTGGGATTCAAGAAGGTTGGACCATTGTGGTCCATTTGTGGCTATGTAAAGATTCTGAGATGATTCTTCTTTTGACTCCTCCCAGATTCTGCCATTCCTCCTACATTTCTGTTACAGATATCCTATATACCAGGAATGTCAAACTCAAGGCCGCGGGCTAAATCTGGCCAACGGGCTGCTTAGATCCAGCCCAAGGGGCCACCCTGGAAACAGCGAAGGACCAGCCCACAGTGCCATTGCCAGCCCTCCTGGGCTCCGTTTTCACTGGCTGAGGGCTGCAGAACATTGAACTGGCCCCCTGGCCACACCCATTTGGCCTCCTGAGGTCAAACACAACCATGATGTGGCCTTCAATGAAATCGAGTTTAACACCCCTGTTCTATACAGTTGTACCCAAATAAATTATATAAGAATATAATGCTGTTGATTTTTTTTTTTTTTTTTTGCCGAATTACAGATTTTTGGATACAGACAAAATCAAACTTAAAATGAATGTATCAGAAGTACGGTAATATTACAGTCAAATACTGATGATCCATTTTACTTTCATAGACTGTAATCAGTTTGAAAGAGAAAAGACAAAAATGATCCTAACTGCACTGTTAAACCAGAATGTTTAATTCAACAGATTTAGGAACACCCAGTCTTTAATAAGGCCATCTGCTGGCATTTCAGAAAAGTACATCAAGATCAGCCTTTTGTTCTCAATAAAAGGGATATCATCTGAGGAACATGCATTTTGAAATATCATGGCAGAAGGGAATATAATAAGCCCCTTATATCTTTTCTGCTATTGTGATAAAAATCACCGGAATTACATTAAACTCACCTGCATTTAGATGAAAGTAAGCCCCTTGGGAATGAACCTCAAATGGCTTCCAGAAGTAAAGCTTCTTTCATTTTAAGAGACACATTATGTGAATCTTGTAAATAAAATTGAAGAAGCATAAACATAGAAATTAATTGTTAGTAGGAAAATGTTCCTAATGTATATAAATACAGTTATTAAAGCAGGGAGTGTACATTAATAAGTTTTTAAAGATAGACACTATTGTTAAGTGTTCTTTATAGAACTCTGTAGTGCTTATGGTCTCTTCTTCCTTTTTCCCTCTAGAAAAATATGCTGTAATGTATTTCAGAGAAGTGCCTTCTGAATAGCCGTTCTATTGTACATCAGGGGATAATATACTGATACAGAGAGCTTAATTGATTGTGCACTTTATTTCCTTACTGTATTAAAGCTATCTTATCAGTTATTTGAACTGTGGCTCGTGGAAATCCCACTCTGAACTCATATTTTCAAAATAAATATTTAATTTAAATAATTAAATGAACATTTATTTTAAATAAAGACAAACTAAATACAGTTATAAGGGTCTATGTTTCATAGTTTCTAATACATACACCCAATGTATTTGTTCAATGATTTAGAATAAGGATAGGGTACGTTAATAACAAGCAGATTGATTTGGTGGGTATCCCTGAAAGAGGAACCAGCAGAAGCAAACTAGCATGTCTTTGGTAGCTAGAACCTAAAACTGATCTATGAAACCAAAGTGCTTGATCCTAGAAATCAGTGTAAGAACACTGTGTAACCCAAATAAATGGTGACTTTATAATTGAGAAATAAGGAATAATGGATATCCTTTAAAGGATAAATAACAAAGATTTAAAGCTTAGGGGGGAAATCATATGTAGAAATGACCAAAAATAGGTTACTGTGGTGTGTTTACTCAGCTTTCTGAACAAATAAAGTCTTAAAAGTTTATTCTACTTTCTACCTCTTGCAAGTGCCCACATTGGAGGCAGAGATTGAAGAATTAGAAATGTATTCTCATTGCTAAATTAATTCCTCCAGGATTAAAACTTGATTAACAAGTGGAAGCAAAGTGTTTTTGTTCAATGTATGTACTTGGTAAATGTATTTACTTTTTCATATTGAATTGGACATAAAACACTAATCCCCAGTAACAGAACTACAGAAGGCACTCTTGATAAAAATGGTAAATGGTTTTGGGCAGCGGATGTGTCTATTAAGTCACCTTGCATATGAAGAATCTCTCTGAATAATTAAAGTATCCCTCTCTTATTTGAGCCTTGCATGAAGCATCATAAATTGTTCCTGGCAGTATTTCTTTCCAGATAAAGGCACTTTGCTTAACCTTTTTCTAAGAATTGCAAATCACCTCCTTTGAACAATCTGAAATCCTATTGTTTATTTATTTATTTATTTATTTATTTGATTTGTCAATTGTTTACAAGATAATAAGTACAAGTGTATACATAGTTGTGAATATATGAAATGGGTACATATAAGAAAAATAAAAGAATAAGAGAAACAATAGGACAGGGACGGTAGGCACGTTGGTGCGCTTATGCACGCCCCCTACAGACCTCTTAGGAAAGGGGTGAGGTCAATAGTAGACAGTCTAAGGTTAAAGTTTTTGGGGTTTGGGGAAGAGACTACAGAGTCGGGTAGAGTATTCCAGACATTGACCACTCTATTGCTGAAGTCGTATTTCCTGCAATCAAGTTTGGTGCGGTTTACTCTGAGTTTGTATCTGTTGTGTGCTCTTGTGTTGTTATGGTTAAAGCTGAAGTATTCATTGACAGGTAGGACATTGCAATGTATGATTTTATATACCATGCTTAAGTCGGACCGAAGACGGCGTAATTCGAGGTTTTCTAATTTTAGAATTTCGAGTCTGGTGGCGTAAGGTATTCTATAACGGGTAGAAGAGTGGAGAACTCTTCTTGTGAAATACTTCTGGACTTTCTCGATTGTGTTAATATCACATACGTGATAAGGATTCCAGACTGATGAACTGTATTCGAGTATTGGTCTAGCAAATGTTTTGTATGCTCTGGTTAGTAGTGAGATATTACCAGAGAAAAAGCAACGTAGGATTAGGTTAACAACTCTTAATGCCTTTTTGGCTATGTAGTTGCAGTGAGCTCTAGCACTTAGATCATTAGAGGTGAGTATTCCCAGGTCCTTTACAGAGCTTGGGTCATCAACAAGATCTTGACTATTCAGCTTGTATTTTATTTTCTGATTTTTTTTACCAATATGTAAGACAGAGCATTTATTTGTTGAGATTTGGAGTTGCCATATGTTAGACCACTCAGATACATAGTCTAGATCTTTTTGAAGGGTAGTAGTATTGTCTGTGGTATTGAACAGCTTTACATCATCAGCGAAGAGAACGCAATTGCTCTTGATATGATCACAAAGGTCGTTTATGTAGATTATGAAGAGAGTTGGTCCTAGAACACTGCCTTGGGGAACACCACTATTGACAGGTACTGGATTTGATAGGGCGTTCCCAATTTTGACCATTTGTTGTCTGTTTGACAGGAATGCTTCTATCCAATTATTCAGTTGTCCAGAGATACCATAAGATTTTATTTTTAGGAGTAGTTTGTCGTGTACCACTGAATCGAAGGCTTTGCAGAAGTCTATGTAGATTGCGTCTATTGCTTTGCCCTGGTCGAGTTGTGTAGTCCATATGTTTTTGCAGTGTAAGAGTTGCAGATTACAGGATAGTTTTTTTCTGAAACCAAATTGTTTATTGGAGAGTAGGTTGTTTGTCTCTAAATGGAGGATGATGGATTGGTTAATAATTGATTCCATGACTTTACAGGTGACGCAGCATAAGGAGATTGGTCTGTAATTTTCAACTTGGCTTGGGTCTCCCTTTTTGAAGATGGGAATGACTGTGGCTTGTAACCATAGGTTGGGCAAGGAGCTGGTTCTGAAAGATTTTTCAAAGATTATGCTTAGAGGTTTGGCTATGGCAGCGGATAGTTTTCTTAAGAAGTAGGCACATATTCCATCCGGTCCAATAGATAGAGATGGTTTTAGGTTGCGTAGTGCTTTTTCAACGTTGTCTACTGTAAAATCGATATGTATTAGATCATTATTGTTGTCTGTGGTACGGCTAGGAAACATTGGGCATGATCCATTACTGTTTACAAACACTGAGCCGAAGAATGTGTTAAAGATGTTGGCTTTAATGGTGTCGTCGCTGCAGTCTTTACCATCAGGTCCTATCAAGGGAGGGATGGACCTTGAGTCTTTTAGTTTGTTGTTTACAAAATTGTAAAAAGCACGGGTGGAATTGGTGCTTAGAAGGTTTTCCTCTTGTTTAATGTGGTAATTGGTGCATTCGGTCTTTATCTGGTGGCATAAATTTTTGTATCGGTTTTTGAAATTAGCAACGTGACCAGATTTGTTTTTCCGCCAGAGTGATCTCTTTTTGGATTGAAGTTTCCTTATTGATATGGGTAATCTGCTTTTTTGTTTTGTTTTTGGAGTTGTTGTTGGAACATATAGTTTGATGACTCTTTTGACTTCAAGTAAAAATATGTTGTAATGGTCTTCAACAGTATTGCATCCAGTGAATAGAGATTGCCAATCGAGGGATGAGAGATCGTTATCTATAAGATCATAGTTGCCTTTTTTGAAGTTACAACTAGGGATGACATCGTTGTGGTGATTTTTGTGTGGACGTATGTTGAGGCAAAAGTCAATCATATTGTGATCACTACTGGAAAAGGGTTCTTTGGTTTGTATTCGGTAAATTAAATTCAAACTATTGCAGAAGATGAGATCGAGGCAGTTGTTCAGTCTAGTGTTGTTGGTTACTAGTTGTTCAAGACCTAGATTTGTAATAGCATTGAAGAAGGTTGTGTGTATGATTTCAGTTGTACAATTATTTAGTGTCCAGTCAATATGAGGTAGATTGAAATCTCCAAGAAAGATAAAAGGGTATGGGCAGGATGTAGCCCATGTTAGTAGTGTATTTAGCTTGTTTACATGTTCGATGTCATAATCAGGTGCTCTGTAACATAGTAAGAATCGAATTGTGATATTTAAGGATAGTTCACAGATGATGGTTTCAGGAAGGGCAAGCTCCTGGGTAACTTGGATATTTTTTAGATGTAAGGATTTTTTATAGAATATAGCAACACCACCTCCTCGACGATTTTCACGATCTGATCGGTAAACATGATAGTCTCTTACTGTGGTAATGGAGTCGGGGAGAGATGCATTGAGCCATGTTTCACAGACAAATATAATGTCGAAGTTAGCCATATTTAAGAGGATGAGAAATTCAGGTATTTTATTCACGAGGCTTCTTGCATTGAGTAGTTTGCATTTAAGTCCGGCAGCAGTTGGGATTGAGGTAGTTGAGGGCGTGCGTGCCTAGTCTTGGGTGATGGTGGGTGGTGGGTAGTTTTGGGTGATGGTGGGTGGTGGTAGGTGGTTGAGGTAGGGTAGTGGTTGAGGGTAAAAGTTGGGTATTGGGTTGCGTGTCTTACTTTTGATGCAGTCAGCATGGTAGTCAATGTACAGGTCCTTCTCTCCATTGTCTAGACGGGTTTTGAGTTCGATGCGGAGTGCACGGGAGCGGGCACGTTGCTGTATGGTTAAGTCAGGGCGGCAACGGAGGTTTTTGTGGTTGGTGTTGGTTTTGGCGAGTGAGTTTATAGTGTAAATGAGTTTACGTTTGCTTGATTCATTTTTGCAAATGATCCTGCACAAGCGTGGGGCCACAGAGCCGTCTCTATTTTTGAGCTCTCGGTCAATGCGGGAAATGTCAAGTATTTCATCGCCGGAGATGGTTGATGCTTGGTAATCTCTGATGATGTTTCGGACAGTTGTGATGTCATCATTGACAATGCTGTCTTCTAGTCCAAATAAGATGGCGTTTGGACGTTTCCGTTCACGCTCAACAGCTTCTCTGATGAGGATTGGGATATCAATATTTGTCTGGGTTGCGTTTATTTGTGGATTGGGTTTTGGATTGGATTGTGGTTGTTGGGTGGAGATGTGGTTTGTGGCTATTTGATGTTCAGGTTTTTGTGTTGTGTCTTTTTTTTCAAGGTTGGTTATTCTTTCTTTTACGGCGTCCAGGGATGCTAATATGGTGTTGAGGGATGTTTTAATGGTTTCGATGGTTGAGGATGTTTCAATGGTTTCAATGTTTGGGGATATTTTGATGGTTTCGGCGGTATCATCTCTTTTAGACAGATCTAGTTTGGATATGCATAATTTGCAGAAATATGGAAACTCATTGGATGATTCTAGGTATCGAATCATTTGCTCAGGTAATCCCAAGCAGTCATGGTGGGTGTATTTTTTACACAGAGAACATTTGATGGAGTATTTATTATCTATTAGATTTTTGCAGCATTTAAGGCATGTGCAGGAGTCTTGAAGTTCATTGGTGCAGGAGTCTTGTAGTTCATTGGTGGGGATTGTCTTCTCATTGAGTTGTGGTTTGAGGTAGGATTTTCTTTTTGGCATGGTAATATTGGTAAAATAGTACGTTGATTGAATTAATTAAATGAACAATTTAGGGTAATCTATATAGTCAATATTACATCAAACAATATCAAACAATCTATTGTAGTAATCTCTCAAGTCAGATAGTATTTCTAAGCAACAATCAGCCTGGTCAATTAATTACTCTAATCACTAGTCAATTATTTACACTAATCATTACTCACACTGTTCATTTAAATCCACTAAATCAAAGATTTTACTATTCAATTAAATTGCATGGATTTTGGTCTTTTAAACTAGTCAGTAATCATACTATTTGTACTAAACACTCTAATCACACTAATCAGTTAAAAAACAATAAATCAATTAAACCATTATTAAAATATTATATAGAAATTGATTATCTAATCGTTGGTATATGTGATGAGGTAGAAAAGTTGTAAGTTTTGAGGTGATGAGGTAGTATTAGGAGTCTTCTTTGTCTGAGGGGCTCGTCCTAGTTAAAATGGCGTACCCCCTCCACTCTTATTTAAGGGCTTTTAGATCGTGAGGAAGGGATTACTGTCCTCGGAGCTCTTCAATTTCTTCAAGGGATGGAGAACGTGGCTACCGAATCGCCCTTTCTCTAGATTCACACGGGGACTTAGAACCAGAAGGAAACCTCTCCGGAGCGACCCACAACAGGAGACCGAATTGGGAGAGAAAGTTGGAGCGCTCTCACCCAGCGATCCTCCCGGCCGGCGCTTCTTGGGTTTTCTTCCTTCTCTCTCCAGTCCCCGGGAGCTCACGGCGAGTTGTAGCGGCGGACACAAGAGTCGGAGACGGCAGCTTTAGTGAGGACCGGAGCGAAGCGGCAGCAGCGGCAGCGGCGTCTCCTCCGTCTTTTGTCTTCCCTCGCTGCCCGTCGTCTCCCTCAAGTTTTTCAGCAGATCGCTCGATCTCCTTACCCGACAAAGGAAAGCGGCGGTCACAAGAGTCGAAGACGGCAGCTTAAGCGGGGACCGGAGCGAAGCGGCGGCGGCGGCGGTATCGGGGTCTCCTCCGTCTTTTTCCTTCTCTCGCTGCCCGTCGTTTTCCAGCAGATCTCTCGATCTCCTTACCCGACAAAGGAAGGTTGCTCAGAACGGGATTCCTGGACCCTGGCAGGATCTTCTTATTCCAGATCGGCTGGCTGCCTTTGTCCGAGTCCTTACGCTGCTACTTGTGGATCCCGAGGACCTAATCTGTGAATTTTGTTACTTTGTTACTTCTATTCCTGTATCTATGTATTTTGTTACTTTTGAAACTTATATTCCTGTTGATACTGGTGCTTTTCTCTCCTACGGGCTCACAGCGGCGTGACTATGCAGCTGCCTTGGTCGCCATCTTTCATAGTTTCCACCCACTCATTTAAAAAAAAGAAAAGAAATAGGATGGTAGAAAATCCTTTGGAATGATAGAAGGGAGACATGAAGCAGCAGAACTAAATTGCTTTCTAATAAATCAGTATGTTATAACTAGTTATGCTTATGATGGCAGCCATCTCATAAATAGATAAACCACCCATTGGCAACCACTTTGTGAGAGCATCAATTATATGTGTTAATAATTCTAAATATTGCAATGAACTCAAAATGTTAGGTATTCCCACAAGTAGATAGAGGCTGTGGGAATAATGTGAGAGTAATCAGGCATTATATGCCAGCATATTTTCTCAGAGAGTCTAAAGCCATAATTTGATAGAATTCTATTGTTACATTTCAACCAGGCCTTGACTAGACATTAAATTACAAGCAATTATACGTTATTTATTTATTTAACTTTATAATTAAGTATAATCTTGTTCTATTTATAGGTATTGCAATTTCTGATGAACTCAATAAGGTAAGAATTACGTTTAGCAAATTACATCAAACTAATAAATCTCACAACAAAATAAGCACATAAAAATAATTTGAGAAGTTTGCGACTACATTGGCAATATTCTTACCAGAATTTAATTTAGGTAGATTACATTCTCAATTCAAAATACTGTATATTTCAACTCATACTATTTCATTCATTTCATGATAGCATTACAAATTTGGGAAGAGTCATCTGCATAATTTTCTGAAAGTTGAAGGCCCATCACATCTAGAAGACATTGGAGAAGTCTGTTGAAATTCAAAGTGCTATTCTAAAATTTGCTGTCAGCAACATGTAACAATGATCATTCAGCTAATGGTTGTGAAAAGCAATATGACAGGTTCATTATAGATTGTACAAGATAGTATATATAAAATACATTTAAAATGCTATGTGACAGATCATCTTTAGTAAAATAATTGTGTCAGGTCATCCAGAGAACACCTGCTCAAGGTCCTGCCTCCTTGGTAAGTGGGACCTGGACCAGTAGACAGGCCCCACACTTGGGAGCAGCATACTGGCCCTCTTATTACTGACATTTTGCAGGGCCATAAAAACAATTTTTATTCAGTCTGACTTCCAAAGTTTAATAGTAATTGGATTTCCACTGTTTCTTATTTTATATCCCTTTATGATTTGGATAAGCTATTGTACTTTATGTTCATATGCTTTTATGATGCTTTATTGTATGCTATGTTTTTCTGTACCAACCAGAATCTAGTGATACATACATTAGTGGTGGGTAGTATAGTATTTGGGTCCACACCAGACAAACCCAGCATGGGTATTCTTATTCTACCTTGCTCATTAAAGAAATGGTGCACAATAGTGGTGTTCAGACTCAGAAAAATAAGTACAAATACAGGCACATCTTTAGTAAGGAGCAGCTAGTATCTAGAAGGAAAGTACACTCTTACTTGCTTTGTTTCCAAATACAGTACAACACTGCAGAAGAAGGAAGGAAAAAGGAAAGCAAAATAGAAAGAAAATCGGGCAATCTCTGTTTGATTTTCTAAGGGAAATGTACAAGTCCCAATGTAAAGCACAATCTTGGAGCTTTAGGGATAGATGTTTCTTTGAGCTACTCTAGAAATGCAGTTTTAACATGTTGTAAGCCTATAATGCTGGTAAAGTTGCCAAGAAAGAAAAGAAGATGATTAGCAACAAAGTGGGTGAGCTCAATTACAATGGGCAACCTGTTGAAAAACCTAAAGGGTCAGGTTGGCATAGATCTACTTAGAGTAAATCTATTTATGTGATTGCTGAGAATTAACACCAACTTAATGGCACATAATGACAGAGTAATTTTAGCTATCTAGAAATGCTGTTAACTTTTCTTTAAGTTGAGTGTTATATTGCAGTCTTACCTGCTCCAGTATCTTCCAGATTCCTTTATGAATATTGTATCTTTCTATGAAATACAGTTGTGTTTTGAATTGCTTGCGCTTATTACGTTTATCCATATTGTTGCCAATAAGTAGCAATAAATCATTTTCTCCCTAATAGGAAACGGCAGCATTTAATACTTCACTTGTTCGGCCTCGGGTAGTTGGAGAGTGGATAGGACGTGAAGAAAATGATGCAGATCCACTGGCTGATGAAATGTTGCAGCCTCCAGTACCAAGAAGCAAAATGGAACAGTGGGACAGTGAAGATAGTAGCAGTCCTGGAGGAAGGTACATTTTCCAACTATGGTGAATAATGGGAGATAGCTGTCTCCCATGTCATACCCATTTACAACCATTTAATTTTATTTGATTGTTAAAAGAAGCTTTCCTACTTTGTCTAAGACAGAGATACAGAACGGGAACATAGCAGACATTTGCACGGATCTTTTATTCATTTCTTGAGTATATTCTCAGATATCTTTATAAGAACATATGCAGATAGTAGAAAAATAAGACTTCATTAAAGTAAAAAATTAACATGTTGTTGTTCCATATTAGCAGGCTCGAAACCCAGCGTTCCTATTGGCCCAGACAAGCCGGGTCGTGATTGGACGGTTTGAACGTTCCTGATTGGCTCATACAGGGTTTGCCGTGATTGGCTAAAACCAAGTGCGGCAAACTCAAAGTGTTGTCATTGGCTGCCTAGCCGCGGCCAGCTCTATAAGAAGAGCTGCCGCGCGCTAGGGTTTTGTCTCAGAATCTATCTGTAAAATAAAGAGCTGTTGTTCACTACTCGAGCCTCGTCTATTCATGGGACCCACCGACCGAACTTAACAGTTGTCTACACCATATCACGCTTTTCATAGGCTGCTTGTTGCTTTCAGGTCGTCTCCACTGTTCAGCTTTTATTTCTTTGCCAATAGGATTAACACTGATAAGCTAAATGGTGGGAAAGAAGTTGCCCTTTCTTATGATGATAATTTATCAGTCTTGATAAGAATGATGGGGGGGAATAGATGTAGAAATAAACATTTATCAAGTGGTACTCATCAGAATTACTATTATTTGATCCTATCTTAATCATCAGGAGAAAAAGAAAGAAAACGTTTGGTCCTCTTCACACTAGCAAATAAGGTCTTGAAAGCCAGGATCATGTGCCTGATCTTGATAAGTTCCATTTGCAAAGATTCCTCTCTCTCTGCTAGGATGAAAAGCACCCTCCCATTTATAGCTTAGCTGGATATCCATTTGTACCAGAGGTGGTATTCAGCAGGTTCTGACCAGTTCTGGACAACCGGTAGCATAAATTTTGAGTAGTTCGGAGAACTGGCAAATACCACCTCTGACTGGCCCTGCCCCCATCTATACTCTGCCTCCCGACTCCCAGCTGATCGGCTGGGTCTTCTTTTGTTGCCCTGCACAGGAGAACGGAGCTGGAAAGCAGGTTAGAGGGGTGGAGTGGGAATGGAGATTTTGCAGTATCCTTCCCCTGAAGTGGGGTAGGAATGGAGATTTTATAGTATCCTTCCCCTGCCATGCCCACCAAGCCACACCCACCAAGCCAAGCCACGCCCACAGAACCGGTAGTAAATTTTTTTGGATCCCACCACTAATTTGTACATTAATATGCATTTGTATGTACTATAAAACACTATTACACTATATGTTGCATTCGAAGATAACTATGTGCAAATCCAATAGACCAAACCTAGGGGAATGAGCTATGTTTCAAAATAGGCATGAAAAAAATTAAAGGGCCAGGGAATCACAAAGCAGGTGCCTAGTCAAGGCATGGGCTGACCAAGAATGAGAATGAAAAGAGATATTATGTTTTAGACTTTGTCCATCAATAATAGGGAAACGTTTTTTGCTCTAATTAGAATTCAACATTTAAAATATTTTAAAATAAAATAGAAAATAAACTTTAAAGGTGTCTAGAATTTAATTATAGGTTTTATCTTTGAGTTAGGCTGTCTATTCAGATATTTACTGCATCGGTCATCTAGTTACAAAAAGATATTATTGATTAAATACTTCCAATCTAATTCTTTGAAGTGTTACTGTATTAAATGATCTAAAGATACATGTGGTTGTATGAAGAGAGCTAGTAACAATAGTTACTACTTGAAAACAATTGAGAATATATCAAACCATAGGACTTTAAAAATAACATGGATATATATTATTTTAATTCAAGGCATTTAAATATTGTATATACAGGGTATACCAAAACATTGTCGCCATAGATAATTATTATATAATTTACATTAAATATTCATATTGCTTGCCTTTTTCTTCTAAACACCTTCTTAGTCATTTGAACATTCCTAAGTACAGTAATATTGTTTCAGGAAAAGTATTAATTAATAAAACATATTGTGATTAGCTTAAGGGGCCTAAGTATTGATATACCCTGTATACTTGCAGTCTTTTCTTTCTCATTTTCTTGTTTTGTTTCTTGGGAAATTTCTTTGTTAGACTTATGCCTGCAAATTATGTCAACTGCTGTGATCAAACTTCATAATATAGGGTTTCAGAACGGATAAGTGGTAAAGGCAATTTTAGTCCTTCTAGTTAGATTTGCTCTGTTTATCCAGAGGTCCTAGGATATAAATCTTTACTTAGCTGAATTCTACACAATTGGGGAAATTGGCTTCGCATGCTTCTGTTTCATGTGAATATATTTTACTATATTTAGCTGAACACAATTACTATTTTAGTATCCACCTTGTAAGTAAATAATGGTAGGCCAAAGGATGGGTTCAACATTTTGTCTGCCATGATGATTGGATTGGGATCCCTGATGAAGACATCTTCCTACTCCCTAAAAAGCTATCGGAGTTGACATTATCTTTCTTTTGAATTGAGCTTGTGTTTCCAGTGATAGGCTTCTTTTGTATGATGGCAACTGTATACATAACAAAGTTACAGGTACAATGAAGTATATGCCATATGTGTGTTATCTTATATGGTTCAGGATGACTTGTTTTACTCTAATTATTATTATATCTTTACCCTGTAAATTGCTTTAATGTCCCATGAAATCCAAAGGACTTAATTATGGATGGTTGACTTATTTAATCTCTCTATCAAATATGTAGGTTCTCTTGGTCAAACAATTGCTATTAATAAGACTAATAGATTAACTATTATTTCTAGTTTAAAGATGAAACCGAAGACTAAAGGACTGAAACATCAACAGCAGCAACATAAAAAATTGCTGGCTGCGATGCTTTCACAAGATTCATTTGATTCTCTACCCAGCACAACTCCTTCAGTAACAGAAGAAGATATCGACAATGAAGATGATGCCATGGAACTGCTGGGTAATTACAAAACTTAATTTATCTAATGTGTCCTCAACTGATTATAGGATTAGTTCTTAGGCTTATATATTGTCCTCCAGTGCTTTGTAAATACTCTCTCTGAGTTGTTTATAAAGTCAGCATATTGCCCCAACAATCTGAGTCCTCGTTTGACCAACTTCAGAAGGATGGAAAACTGAATCAACTTTGAGCTGGTCAAGATCAAATTCCTGGTGTGTGGGCAAGATAGCCCGCAATGTTGCATTCTAACCACTGTGCCACCATGGCTCTTATCCTTATGAGACTCAATTTGGAATTTGAACTCAGGCTCCCAAGAGTCTGCTTAGGTATTATAAGCTTAGTTTAAAAAGTCTAGAGAGATATAAAATGTTGCAGTCAATGGTTTTTTTTTTTAAAGTACCTCATTTTTCAGACTATAAGACACTCCATACTATAAGACACACTTTAGAGGAAGAAAACAAGAAAAAAACTGCCTCTGCCTCCCAGCAATAATTCAAGGACTACCTGGATTTGTAATTATTTTTGAAGTAATTGTATTTAAGAAAATTAATGTGAAAATAAAGATAAGCAAGGAGAAAAAAGTAGTGGTGATGGAGGATTTGAATCAGTAGAACTGATAGTGGTGTAAGATTTTAATTATCCCAACATCTGTTGCAAGACAAACTCTGTCTAGCATAATTTTTCCAAAAATTCATAATTTATTTGTTAACATATTTCTCTTTGGAGAGGATAAAGTAAAGACACAACATGATTAGTCATTCTTCATGCAAACTGATAAGGAATATTTAGTTGAGGGAGAGAGGAAAATGAATATAAAAGCCTAATATTATTACTTAAGGCAAACTCCTATTTTAACTCAGTCTTCTATGAAAAGTGGGATATTTATTCTACCAAGAAATTATTAAGGAGCAAGAATAAATCTGGAAATTGATGGCTACATACTATAATCAGGGAATATCCACTTACTTTGAATAAATTTACATCTCCAGAGTCAGATGAATTACATTTAAGATAATGAAGAAATTTAGAAATGGTCTAATTGAATCTTTATATGTTATATATTTAAAGGTCTACATAAAGTGTTGTGTCAGATAATAAGAGGACAATAATGTTCTTTTCATCAAGAAAGGAACAAAGGAGGATCTAAGGAAATGCAAACTGGTCAGTCTGTTATTAATATTTGTGAAGATTATAAACTGATCTTAAAACTATGTATTTTTAAGGATTATTAAAACAATATGATGATTACTATAAGTCAGCAAGAATTTGTTAAGAAACATTTTAACCAGTTTAATCTTATTTTTTGAATAGGCAGTTTCCTTATTTCAGAAGTACATGTAGTATATTTTTACTTAAAATATTTGATTAAGCAGTATATAGCTTTCTGATTAGAAAATCAATTAATTGTGGTTTGGATAGAAGGACATAAATCACTTGCTTGAAAGTTGTGCTCAAAAATGTTATTAGTAGTGTTGGAAGAAAAATCCTTCTGGGTTCACTGGGGAAAAAGTGGGGGAAAAGACACTGGAAACATGGAGGCTGTTTGGAAGGTTTAATGGTGGACAGGACCACATGGCCTGGAGCTCTAGGGTGAAAAGGAAGGATGATCACATACTTCAAGGTGGAGGAAATCAAGAAAGGGCTGAGGTGCTGAGAATGCCTGGGTTTTATAGCCTTTGTTGGGATTTGAATTGGAGCTTGTATTCTGATTGGTTGTCAGACTCCCATGGGGCCATGCAGAGGGAAGTCTGTAGGCTGTCCTGAGTTCCAGGCTTGGTTGAGCCTTGCTGGATGATGATGCACTGAAAAGGGCTTTTGGCAATTGCTGTAGCTTTACCTGGAGATCTTTGTTATATAAAGTATTCTGGCCCCAGGCCTTAATGGCCCACCCATTAACAAAGTTGGGGGTGAGCTTCTGCTTCTGAGGTGAGTTTCCACTCTTTTTAGAGCAAATATTCTGCCTTTTTAATATTTCCCAGAATATTTCATTTTTCTAGGAGAGAGGTGGATGCTAACTTCCTACAGTAGTTTCTCATCAGTAGCATAGAATATTAAGTGAAGTATCTCAAAGGTTCCTCTACTCATCAACATTTTTTAGTATAACTTGCCCGAAGAGGTGGAGGGAATGCTTCTCAAATCTGCAGATGATATAAGATTAGATGGGATAACTAATATCTTACATGATAGAAGTACATTTCAAAACAATCTTGATAATACAAGCAGTTAAATATGGAAATGTGACTCAAGTGTAATGTAAATATAAAAAAGCAAACACAGTTATAGACAACATTATCCAATCTATTATTTCCAAGTCACGAGAAGTACTTTTTCCACTTTATTCTGGGTTTGGCATTATACTTTAAGAAGGATCCAGAGACAACATGGCAAATTTTCAAAGAATAGCAGTGGTCAGAGAACTAAATACTGTGATGAGAGGTTGAAGGAGTTAGAAAGAGAAGAAAAGGTTGAAAGGCAGATAGTCTTCAGGATATGAACTAATGTTACTTAAAAGGTCAACATTCTCAGTTATTCCAGTATGCAAGACACAGAATAATGGAGTCATATTACAGGAAGGCAAATTCTGATAGAATTATGGGGGGAAAAAGCTTCCCACAGATAGTTGAACGTACATCCAACTCTTTTCTTCCATCTTCTGATTGCCTGGATTTCTGCAGCCCAACTTTAGTTGGAGACAGAGTTGTTACAAAATAGCTATTTTATGTGGTTTATCAAAGTGCATATTTTAAAATAAGGGAAAAAGTAATTCATATAGGAAATACTCCTACAGTTAGCACTTCCTACATTAAGTTATTTATTAAAGTGCATATTTTAATATTATTCTTGGAAAAAAAGTCCCTATGAAGTAACAGTATGTTATAAGATCATATCACAAAAGCAGCAATTTAAATAATTCAACAACTCTAACTCTACAAATGATAGGTAGCTTGTCCTTTTATGATCAACCATCAACAATAAAGAAACAAAGAGACAAATACTTGCAGGTTAGGATTTGCTAGATTAGTGATAAAGGCCTTGGAAAACATATTCAGATGCTGTGATGTGTCTAAATCAACAAAGATCACAAGTGTGTGAGCAATAGTGTTCCCTGTGATAATTTGTGGAAGTGAAAATTGAATTTTGAAGAAGCAGAATAGAAAGAATTGATACTTCAGTTGCAGCCTAGAACGGGAGGCAATGAAGAAGTTACTTATGCCCTTGTTTCTCCTGTGTGAATTATTGTGATTTGCTTTATATGAGTCTGCCTGAAGGCCACCCAGAAACAAGTACACCATCTGTGAAGAGCTACTATAGGAAAGCAGCCCAAAAGGGGTCACCACCGTAGGAATAACTTGCTTCTTGAGATGATAGCTTCTCCTTAATGGCCTTCCTGAAGCATTGCATTGAGAGCAACTATTGCTTTTGTACACACTTAGAGTCATCATGATTCAAGTAATTTATTTTTTCTTCTGTTGAATTGTGTGTGAGTCTCGATAAAATAATTTATACATTCATAACATGGCATAATTAAAATAAACCCCCAGAATTCTGAATTAGGATAGCCAAAAGGCAGAAGAACCCAGAGCTATAGTCCAAATATAATTGAAGGTCATAGGTTGGAACTGCTGCCTAAATATTTCTTTTCAATATCTTTGTTATCTACAAGACCTTTTCACTGCTCTCATTCTTAAATCTTAAACTATCTTTTATAATCTTAAACTATCTTTTGCCATTCTTCCATCAAACATTCTCCAGACTTTTGGTCAATATGCAGACAGTTTCTATATAATGAATATTATAAGGAGGATGATTTACATTGAATGAAATGATGTGATTTATTAAATACTAACAATAGCTAGGTTGAACAGAATGCAGAATCCAGAGATAACCTAATCTTTTATTATGTGGTTTTCAATCAGAGGTTGTCTTTTCCAATGGGGAATGACAACAAAGGGTAAATTTTCCCCAAGCAGATACTGAGAGAGAGAAAATATGCTTATGCCTCCTTCAAGCCCATCACTTCTCAGATATTTCTCTAATTCCACAGTGAATATATAAGATCTGGCACTTATTAATAATCAGGCAATCTGCTGCTACTTCTGAAAAATCCTTCTGAAAGCAGAACTTTTTCAAAATGAATGGGGCTTGTGCCAATGCAGCACTTTGAAGATCAAGGTTTTAATAAGGCAGATTCTGTAATAGCACTGGAAAGATAGTTTCCCATTACCTTAATGGGGCTTTTGGCTGTAGTTGGTTCAGATATGTTTACATTTCCAAACAAGCCCTATTTTAAAAAGCTTATGTTGGCTCTGTTTGGGACCGCTCCTTCCAAATAAATGGAGTCCATTTTCTATAATACCACATTGATTTATGTTGGATAAAAATGTCTAAATAATGTTCTTGACTTAAACTGAATTCTCGGTAGTCCAGCTCTATAAATGAGGTTTTATTGAGATAATTCCCATTATCCCTACTGTTATGGCATAATCCTGAGATTGTTAAACAATAGTAAGATTCACCAGGCTGCAATTAAGTATTTTTTCTGAGATAAGCATTTATTTTCTGTCTTTATCTAATTAAACTATAAGCAATCACTACTTGAGGAAATTTCCTCTTATCCCTTAATATTTTCAGAAAAATGGTGTTTGTTTTGTGGCATTTGTCTATTCTTTATAGGGGCACCTATATAATATGATGAAAAGGCTATAATTGCTTTGAGATTTCATTTTATTTTCCTCTCTAAACATGGTAAGATCTACTTGGTTGAGTTTGGAACATACATCATTCATAAATGCATACGCCACTTTGGGGAAAGGAAGAGTCTAGAAGACTTGTGGGGCAATTAATACAGGAATTCAGTTTCCATGCTTGTTTCAGACAGAAGAAAAATAGCAAATTTCTATCTAATTGGTGCTAGAGGTTTACATTCAGCAGTCCTTGTTACAGAAGATGCTTCTGGACATATTCAGAAAACTAAAATTAAGTAAAAAAAAACTGTCTTT